GAATGGGCCAAGTTGAGAGAGACAATAGTGCCAAATGGTTTGGGCCTGGAGTTTTATATTGTTGGCTCTGGGCCAGCCCTGCGTGTGATGTACAGACTTGGGTCATTTGATTGACATGTGTAGGTTAGATAACCCATTTCTTTCTGNCACTCGCCCGGTCTGCCCACCTTTAAGTACTCAGCTGGGAGTCCCTTCGCTGCTCAGCGTGCTTCGCAGAGGCCTGTTTGCTGTGCTCCAGCTGCTCAAATCGCTGTGTTCTCCCGGAGAGAATTCAGGGAGACCTCCTCACCGCCGCCACTTTTTTTCCCCTCTCCCAGTTACACTGTTTTTTAATGGAAAGAATTATATCATCTATCCCCTAAAGAGCCCAGCTAAGTTTAAAACCTTATTTAACTCGATGAAAAATCTAAGTCCTAAGATTTTAAGATCTAAGTGTCACATGAATGAAAGTTTCCCCTCTCTTACTCTTTGAAAGCTTCATTTGTAACTTAATGGACTTTATAAAAATAGATCATATGTTGTAAAATATCAAATTACTGAAGATCTCTTTGAATTATGTTTATTTTCTGTTTCCTAAGGTCATTTATACTTTAAACATATTTTGCCACTTCCTTTTACCCTGAGATGAATTGTTATCAATTTTTATAATATTAAAACACATTAAGCATTGAGGGATTTTTTAAAATGCTATACAGTGAGGTGGTCAAACATTCTATTAGGTTGTCGGAAAAGTCATGACGCATTTTTGCAACGAAAAACAGAAAAATATGTCATGACTTTTCCGACAACTCAATATTTGTACCTCTTTTTGGGGACATGACAATACAGTGTTATTCATGTTCATTTAAACATTCCTAGTGCACATAAATGTTAACCCCCATCGCATCTTAAGATATTTTGGCTTTTATCATGTCACACACAGCTTATTTTATTTAATTTCAGACCATAAAAATGTATGAAAATTATAGCTTTCTAAATTTAAGTTAATTTGACACAAAAATGATTTTACAAATGTTTTGTGACTTTCCTTATTCCATTACACATTTATAAAAAGAGTATAATTTAACGAATACCAGATGGCTAAAAAAATTATGTAGCTATTATATTGCATGAGTTTATTGTATTTAAAGTCAATTAAACATAAACCATTTTAACCATAGCATTAGTTACTACACACCCAAGTTATGCTAGTTTTTTTTTTAAAAAGTCACCATTTTTCAATTAGAAGGCCAAAGATTGCAATCTATGAATGCAAACAGTTGGCTCTACTTCACTTTGTTGCAAAAGCAAACACATGACAAATGGACACA